AACTTGGAGTATTTTTATCCTCTGAAGTTTCTTCAACAATGTCGTCTTTGTCCATACCATCACGCTCCACTTTTCTACGTGATCGGTTTGACCTTGGTTTTTTATTCTTAATAGGTTCCGAATCAAAGTCAGAACATTTATGATCATGCGCGAAACAGTAAAAAAAAAAATATCAAATTACTTACTCTCCTAGGTTTCTCTATGTAATCTGGATCTGATGAATGATCCTCTTCCTTTGAACTTTCAGTATGACTATGACTATAACATATGGATTTTCTTTTTCCGGTCGATCTCTTTCAACAAGAAAGTCATAAATCAGTTTTAACGTAATTATTCTTTAATCCTTAACCGGACTCACCTTTTTTGTTGTTGCTAAATGAGCTTCCGCGGTCTCCTCAGCTATGTTCTCCATCATACATTGCGTCTTATTACTTATATTGACATGGCACTGTTTCTGTACAAGTATATCATTTAGTAAAATCTCAAAGAGTTATTCAGCCAAAAGTATGCTTACTGTTCGCACAGATCTTTCTGACTCTAGACGTTGCTTTTCTTTATTATTATACATTAACTCGATTTCGTTCCAGAAGTTATTGACATCTTCATTATGGAATCGATGTTTCTGATAAAAAAAAAGAAATAAGTTAATACAAAGTTTGTGATTGCTAAGATGCTCGTGTGAAAAAAAAATGTTTAATTGTTTTATTTGTTTCGCAGACCACAACGGACAAGAAGACCATAAGGTAGAAAGCAATAAGGTTTCCACCGTAGTTGTGTGAGTTTAACCCCTTCTCAGGACTACTGGGAGTCTCCCATACTGCTTGTGGCAGACCACAACGGACAAGAAGCCCATAAGGTGGAAGGCAAGAAGGTTTCCACCGTAGTTGTGTGAGTTTAACCCCTTCTCAGGACTACTGAGAATCTCCCATACTGCCTTTAGAATAAATTAAAATCACTTGCCTCAAAGCCTTGGATCAGCCGAGTAGCACCCTTCTTAATATCTTCTGAACGATTATCTAGTCAAGACTCTTTCTGAGTATATCGGACTCTTTACGAAAAGAGAATGTAAAATTTTGTTGATTTTGACGGTGTTTATAAAAGCCCACGACATTATAGCACATGCAGATGGAAATTTTTTTTTCAGTATATTAGTAAACGAAGATTATAAATTTGAATGAAAAGTCAGGAAAAAATTTTTTTTGGGATTATTGGATATATATATCAGGTGATAAGAGCGTCGCCTAGAAAAAAATGGTAGCCGGATAGTTTTGCTGGGTAACACGTGATTTCGGAAACTGATTTCCGGTTATTTATCACGATTTTTATTATTAGTAAAATACTTCGATAAATAACCGAATAAATAAATAA